AATGGCTCAGGACTAGGAGATGGGTAAGTCTTGCAGTCTGACACACTCAGCAGTATGCAGGAATATTCAGGACCCATGATGGACTGTCCTCATAACAAACAAGTATACATTCATGAACTTTTATTTTTTATTTTATTAGTCACAAGAGTTATCTCAGTACATTTAAAAAAATAATTATACATTTAATTTGTAGAATGTGTCATTCAATCTACATATAATGCAACTTGCATTTCTGTGGTTGGGGGTCTGTAAGAGAAGTAATTTGGAAACCATTAATTTTTATTGTAAAGCCCTTTGAGGGCTCAGACTGCATTTGATGTCTTTTTGCTTTCCATGGCCTACCACAATGTTTTGTTTATCTTAGCTATCTAATAAATATTTTCTAAAGAAGAAAATGAAGTAGAATTTGCCAGGAAATTGGAGTCGAAAACTGCAGAGATAAGTTGTCCTAAACAGTATCAATGAAGACTATTGACTTTGAAAATAATATGAGACAAAAACTATCTGTGTACAGATCCAGGATGTTGGGAGATAGGTTCATGTATGAGGTTCTGAGCTAGTGAGAAAAATCTAAAAAGAGGAGAGGAAGGGTTAGAGTTTTATGCCCAATGCCTTCATAGGACTTAGTACAATAGTCAAAATTTCTATTCCCTGGTTACTGAATTCTAGAGAAGTGTCAATTTCATGATAACCAACTGTATTTACCTCTAATTGAAGTCAGTTGTAAGCTCTTGGAGGAGAGTAGGAACATGCCTTATTTACCTGTGTATCCCCGACATACTCAAGCCTAAGGCGTTCACCTACTTTACCCCACTGGTTTGTCCCAACAGCTCCTAGAGGCAGGTTCCATTTTTGCCATTATTCAGTGATGGAACTGAGGCTCAGGGAATTTATGTGACTAACCAAAATAACAGAACTGGTAAGCAATGTTGTTGGAACAGAACTTTTACTCAGTACTTAAAGGTACAGGTAGTGGACTTTAGCTGCCCAGATTCAAATCCTGCCTATCACTGTGTGACTCTTCTATGTCCCAATTTCATCATCTATAAAATGGAAATAATAATAGTACTTATGGGTTTTTTGAGTTCCTCAAAAAACATTGAACTGTGAACAATGACAGGGTATAGTAAATGCTCAACTAACCCATGAATTATTGTGATTCTATACATGCCATGCTCCAGATCCTAGAGTAGCAGTTTTGATCACAAAATGTTTTAAAGATAATGTTCAGGAATTATCCAGGATATCACATACTTTCATTTTCATACATTTGTCCTAATGACATATCCTAGTAAGATTGATAGTAAATAGTTGTTCTGACAATAAAGTCCTTCAGTGTTTAATTTTTCATTTTTATATTTTTAGTTTGTCTACTAAGGAGTCTTTGGTCAGAGTGTGCTTTTTTGTCATAGTACTACATATAACATATAAGAAGTAAAGCTTTCAATTTGGTATTTTTATATTATGATTGATTTAAAATGGAAAAGTCAAAATTTGAGTGGATGGTTAAGATTTGACTGTATTTTTCCTTGGTATGTAATAGAATTCATATCAAACATGTTAAAAGTCCTGAGGAATAACATTTAGTAGCCAATGAAAGTTCCTTCCAGTAGTAACTATCTAGTACAAGCAGCATGGCAGAGCTCAAATGGTAGTAGAATATTAACCAGAAGATCTAGATTCTGGTTTAAGTTTTTCTCCTAACAAATTGTGTGTTATTTGACATTTACTACCTGTCTGGGTCTCAGTCTTCTCATCTGCAAAAGTAGGGATAGGGCTAACCTCTGTAGTGGATACTGCTGGGGCCTCGCTGTTGTAGATAGCAAAAAAATGGCCACACTTTTTTTTTTTTAGTTCCTTCCATCAAGAGGTGGAGTCTATTTCCTAAATTCCTTGAACTTGGCCTTGTGACTTCCTTTGACTAACAGTATTTGTCAGAATTTCTTTGTGCATGTCCCAAGCCTAGGTCTCAAGAGGCCATCAGCTTCCACTCTTGAAATGAGACCTCTTCCTCTACCACACAAGCCAGACTAAGCTATCTTGATAAATCAGGGTCAGCAAACTTTTTCTGTAAAGAGTCAAATGGTAAGTATTTTAAACTTGGGGGATCATGTAGTGTCTGTCAAACCACTCAACTCTGCCATTTTAGTAATAAAGGAGACACGGACAATACATAAACAAATGAGCATAGCTGCACTCCCATAAAGCTTTATTTACAAAAACCAGCAGCAAACTAGATTTGCAGTTGGCAGGTCCCTGGATAGATAATAAGAAATTCTATGAATTGAGACCACAGTTACCACAACTTTCCTAGCCATCCAAGCTGAGGCCCAAGATGAGTGAGACCAGCTGGGACCTCCTAGGACCTAAAGGATCATCCACTGAGCCCCCATCAAATGGTCAACCTAAAGAAATGTGAAATGCCACAGCTCTCTGCAGTGTCAGGCCAGTAAGTGGTTTGTTACACCACAAAAACTTAATGATGCATACATTTTAATCTTAACCAGTCTTGAGTGCCCATTCTTCAGCTGCTTTGAGGTTGCTGAGGGCACCAGGCTGCCCCCTACTCCTGAGAATTGCCTTCCCAGGGAGAGTCCACCCGCCCCTGGGGCAGTCCACAATAAATAACAACCTCCTGCCTCAAGGTGGGGCTAACTCTGTGCTCCAATTCTGGTTCCAAAAGCTCCTTGTGACAACAGGCTGAAGCTAGTTTCCATCTGAAATCTTGCTTAGCTTGCTGAAGCCCTATCTTGCTTTCCTTACTCCCCTTCTCCTGCAAGAAACCCTGCAATAAACCACTTATTCAAAAATCACCATCTCACGTTCTGCTTTTAGGAAGCCTAAGATAACTTCCAACAATCACTTTGTTATCAATCATAATCAAAAGGCAGCCTGAGATAAAAGACTGAAATGCAAATGGTTAGGGCAATGGAATACGCCAAAAAGACAAACTTGAACCCACTTTAAGAAATAGCAAAAAGACCCCTTCCTCTACCTTGCAAGCCAGCCTGAGCCACCCTGATAGATCAGGGTCAGCAAATATTTTCTGTAAAGAGACAATGGGAAATATTTTGGGCTTTGGAGATCATACAGTCTTTGTCACAACTATTCAATGCTGCCAAATTAATAATAAAGCAGACATAGACAATGCATAAACAAGCAAGCGATCACAGGGAGTGATCTATTAGCCCCCAAACCCCTCGTCTGAATCTAGTAGTACAAGTAAGGGAAGGGAAACTGAAAGTAGAATTTCTTGAAATAAAATTAATTCTGGTCATTTTACTCCACTTAGTATCATTTTCTTAAAATTAGTGAAGTCAACTAAATTTTTAACATAGATATATTGTTCCCCAAAAACCTGTCCTATTGAACATTGTCCCCAATTTCTAGGTAACGGTAGTCCCAAATTCTGTCTTCTCTATTCACTTCCCTTTCACTCACACAGAGGAAAAACAAACTGATCCACCACATCATGGGAAAAGGGAGACTGTTAATGAATTTATGCACATAAATTACATTGAGATTACCAGATGAAGGGTATTTTATAAATACAATATACCTACTATCATTATTATGCAGACAACATTCTGAGTATTTTGAGTAAAAAAAAAAAAGAGCGAGAGAGAAAAAGAAAGAAGTATTACTAGCAGCAGGTTTCCTGCAAACTGGGAATTGGGTAGCTGGCAAAAGGAGAGATCTGAAGGAAATCTAAAGAAAAAGTAATGACAGCAGCAGGGTTTCCCTTTCAAGAAAAGAGAAATAAGGAATTGTCAAAGAGGAAACATTAATAACTAGCAGAGTGAAGTATGTGGAAAGAATCTGTAAGAGATGTGAGATAGAAACAGAAAGAAAAGCCTAAATCTAGAGGCTAGAAAAGGAATATATGAGAAAAAGAAACTGCATTTACTGGAACAGATGAAGATGATTCTCCTATGTTGTTATGTCTCCTGGAGATTGAAATACTCAGAAAAAGAGTGTAGCAAAGAAAAAAATCAGGGACACCCTGACAAGCATATAGTGGAATTTATATATACATTCTTGGACATTGCACATTTAAAAAATAAAAATTTAAAATGATATTTTCATTTTAAAATACCATCATTGCAATTGCTTGATTTTTTTTCTTAGTCATAATTACTATCCAAACAAAAATAGTTCTGTCACACTTGCTTTTTTAAAGGAAAGAAGAAAGAAAGAACAGAGAGAATATCTCAAAATATAGACTTCTTTTTGAAACCCTGGGTACATCATCCAAATTTTCTACATCTCAGTTTCCTCATCTGTAAATGAGAAGATCAGGAAATGTTTTGAAATTCAAGAATTCTTAGGAAAAAACTGAGTTTCTATTATATGAATACTAACTGAAGGAAACATTCTAAATGGCATTTTAAAGTCAAATTGCTGTTTGTAACCTTAGAATACAACTTAGAAAAGCAATACTTTCTGCATTGCCTGAAATCATAAACTAAAAGTATTCAAGTAAGCTAATTTTGTACAGCTGGAAAGAGATCTAAGGATGTATGTTAATTTAATGACTGTTTAGTATATGAAATTATAGCTTAAATAATTTATATGAATTTAGATATTCATTAAGGTTTTACAGCCTTTCAAAATGAGTTATTTTAAGATCAGGAACTAAAAATAGTGGCATTTTCCTTCACAGAAACCAGAGATAAGTATATGGCAAAGCATAATTAATCTAAAGATTACTTCATTTTAGTGTTTACGCAAACCAAGAGTTACAAAAAATAATAACTTTGAGTTAAGCGTGTGTGAATATTTACAGAGAGTGAAAAAAATGTGCAAGATTGAAAAAAGAACTAGATTCTCTTTAAAATTAGCAGGAAGGCTTAGGGAAGAGTTGTTATGGATAGACTTGACTTAGTCATAACCAAGAGGAAGGAGATAAAAAGGAGAATGAGGATAAAGATGGCAAAAGAGAAGAGATAATTAGGAAGTAAAGTCCCGGAGGAGGGAAGCAGTGAGAATGCTGTACTCACATGGAGAGGAATCATGCTGGAAATGCAGAGAAACCATGTTCCTCAGAGACAGGCGGGAACGGAGAAGAGGAGAGCAAATGTCATTATTTGCCAAAGCATTTGCTTTCTCATTAGCTCCAACTCTGGTCTTTTTGTCTGATTCTAAACCACTCCTTCTTGGCCATCAGCATGTGGAAGGAAGTACTTCTTGACCTGATGTAGTTCAACTGCTTTTCCCTGTGCTCTGTGTCCATTTTGATAACCACCCCCTGGGTACTGGTACTTCACAGATCAGATTGGGTTCCATAACAGATTTCTGACATGAGTTCCTCAAATCACTATGAATATTCCCATCTGAAATGTCCTCTGTTTCTCACTCTCCTGAAACTATCCACCTGCACTCTCACAGTTGTGACTATTTGGTGATCACAAAATGAATTGTCTAATCAAGATATTTGATACATGCTACAGTCTAGATTGCTGTGATATAAAACATACATATATTATCCCCTTCACTTTCAGTATGAACTATTGGCACTTTCATTTAGGCATCAATACATTATATTATATATATATTTTTTTAATTATGCTTAATTATGTATGATTATATAATATAAATATATATATATAATTGTATTAATAACAATATTAGAGATTTAAAATAAATTAGCATGCTATTAGTTCCAAAACTAAGTATTTTTAAAATTACTTTAGTTACTGGTTGAGTATCTTGCTCGTAGCTACTCAAAATCTTTCTATTAAATGCAAGATAATGGGGCACCTGAGTGGCTCAGTTGGGCGTCAGACTCTTGTTCAGGTCCTGATCTCAAGGTTGTGAGGTCAAGTCCTATGTCAGGCTCTGAGCTCAGCAGGAAGTCAGCTTGCAATTCTCTCCCTCTTCCTCTGCCCCTACCTCTGTCCCTCCCTACACTCATGCTCCCGCACTCTCTCTCTCTCTCTCTCTGTCTCTCAAACAAATAAATCTTTAAAACATGGCAAGATAACATTCTCAGTTTCCTATGATTATTTTGTTGCCAAATATTAACTGTCATTTTAATAAAAGAATGAGAACTACTTTTCTCATTAATAAAATGAGTCACTATCATTTGGGAGTCTTTGTTGAGACTTGTATAAAAGATTTAGAAGGAAATGGACAATAAAATGTTATTTTGGTTATACAAAGAATCTGCTACTTGTTTATTGTCCTCTGAACCAGTTTAGTTATAACTGATGTCCTTATGAAATTGAAGTTTCAGTGGCATCCACATTCTCCCTTGGGGCATCTAGTAATCACTTAAAAATGGAATAATATGGACTGAGGCTTAATTAATGAATAAAATTGCATGATTCAAAAGTTTGTGTTTAAATATTAGTGGACACTTTTCAAATGAAAAGAGCATGGTTTAATTGGATTCTGTTATCTTTCTAATTTTATTGGCAATTTTTAAAAGAAAATGAAACACCTTAACTGAAAAACAAAGGTCATTTAATTTCCTTTGCATTGTTCAGTGATCTTTTTTTAATACTTTAGTGAGACCATTCATGTCAAAATTTATATATACTTCCTGCACTTTAATATCTTTACTTTATTAAATATACTCTCATTACGTATGTTAAATATAAAAATAAACCACAAATGACCCGCAAATCACATTTAAAAATAATATATAATTATAACTTTGAATGTTATAAATGCAGAAGAAATCTGTTAGAATCCTTGATTTCTGTGGCAAAAAGTAACATCTCTATGCTATTTTTATAAAGGAATGCTGATTCCTATATATATGTATATGTACAGAATACTGTAAATACATGTGGAATGCATTAAGTGTAATATTATATACTTATATCCAACTATTTTAATTAAACAACAATAATAATTCATTTATTTAATTACCATATATTAAATGCCTGTAATATACCAGGCACTATCTTGGAGAAAATAATTTGACATATAAGATAACAAATTTCTGGCATGACAAAGTCTGCTTTTACATGAACTTCATCACCTTTGAATGCCTTCTGATGAAGAACTTAATCTTCTTAATCTTAACATTTTAAGTTAACATATGCATGGTTTAGTAGACCCACTATGGGTTTTGGCTACAGATTGACCTGGTTTCAAATAGTTACACCACTCGCTGGATATGTAATTTATGTCACTTAAACTTTCCAAGCCTCAGTTTTCTCATGTGTAAAATAGGAAAAATAGCTTAGTTTGTTTTTTTTTTTTTTAGGGTCATTGTTGCATGATGATTAGACACACACACACACACACACACACACACACACACACACCCCTTAGCATGATACCTAATACTTCCTAAATACTACTCAAAAGGCAGTTCTTATGAAATATCAATGCTGTGACTTAGGAAAGATCATGTACAGTGATACTGTATTGGTGTTCTATCGCTGCACTAGCAAATCACCCAAATTTAGCTACTTAATAAAAATCTTTGATCATAGTTTTGTAGATCATAAATCCAACACAGGTCTCACCAGGCTAAAATCAAAAGAACTGCATTCCTTTCTGGAGACCCTAGGGAAGAATCTGTTTGCTTGCCTTTTCCAGCCTCTGGGGGCCACCTGCATTCTTTGGCTTGTGACCTCTTTAAAAAAGGAAGTAACGGTGGGTTGAGTCCTCCCATTCGTCTCTCTGTCTATAGTCAGAAAAGGTCTCCACTGCTAAGACTCATGTGATTGAATTGGACCCACACAGATAATCCAGGATAATCTTCCCCATCTCAAGGCCTGTAACCTTAATTACATCTGCAAAGTCCCTTTTGCCACATAAGGTAGCATGATCAACGGTTCTGGGAATTAGAGCATCAGCATCTTTAGAGAGCCATTATTCTGCCTACTGCAGGCACCATGGGACCAGCTGGAAGGTGCCTATATTGTGGCACAAATGGCAGGAACTCAGAGGTAACTACTGCTTGCACTGAGCATTGCTGACAATATGTCGGTCAGTCCTGAAGAAGGTTTCAGTTCTTCCCTCACCTACGTGAAAGCATGCTTAGAGAAAATTCTATTAACTTAGAAGCAATCATAACACAGACTACCTATAAGGGAATGCTGTGCAAGAGGAATCAGAATTTGAAATAAGTCCATTTATGCTGAAATCCTTGGGTTTTCTGAAACTACCTACATATCATAACCATTATATCCTCTGGCTGCAACTATCTGAACGTTTACTGTTTAACCATTTTATGCTTTCTGGGAATTCATACTGTATGTTCTTCTGAACAGCCTTAGTAAGATGACATGACTCGTTTGGGTAGCTTCAGGTGCATGAAGTGAACAGATGACTTTAAGTGGATCTACCAGTGGTTTCGTCATGCCACTAACTCACATTTTCTGTCTCGTGAACAAAGATATAATAAACAATTCAGGTAAATCATTAGTCAACTATATTTAATTTCCTTCATCTTATAAAGGAAACAATATACTTGCCATTTTAATAAGCATTGAAATCAAGTGGAAAATCCATTTGGTCTAGTCTCAAAATCAAATAATCTAACACAACTTCGTTAAAAGCTTACAAATATTTTTAGTATATCTACAAAGTTCCAGACACCGAGTTAGGCACCAGTACCTCGGTGGATGAAATCAGTATGTTCACTGCACTCAGAGGGGCTACGCTATAATGAAGGTTGAAAATCTAGAGACTCTACCATCCCAACCCCTCATTTAAGCATTAAGGGACTGAATTCCAAAAAGATTTAAATGGGACCGGTTTCACCTTTGATGCATAATCCACCTTCATATCCACTAAAGTAGAATTCATTAGCAAGATTGGATTTTTGAGATTAGAGAGGTCAGGGCATTCAGCAGAACACTGACTCCAATTCTCCTGGTAATCCAATAAAGAAAGGTGGTACGAAAGATACCAAGCACATTAATATTATTAGAGAAGCAGCAACAGAAATAGCTAGGGCTCCCTCGTCAAACACGCCGGGTTTTCATTCCAGTCCAGCATGTTAGCTTGTGATCTTCAGTGAAATGCTTGACCTTTCTAAGCTTCACATACCTCATTTGCAAAGCATGGAAGCAACGTGCCGTAGAGGATAAGAACCCAGCCTTCTGGCTTCAGAAATACATGAGTTTGAATCTTGATTCTACCACCCTCAAACTGGGAGATCTTGGGCACATCACATCCTATAATATTAATCCCATTAATATGGGAATAGTAATAATACCCACTTCAAAGTTTTGTTACAAAAAGTAAATGAAGAATATAGAGCACCAGGGACAATGTCTGAATCATGACAGGCAGTCAATAGATGGTAACCAGTGGTATGACATTTAGAGTTTGCAAGTGTGAAGATTAATAATAAATGCAAATCACTTTCCCCACAAATGGCAGTGTTATGAATGTCTGCATTTTAATAATAATTCCAGATTTTAAAAGTTTCTATAACCATGGACCCTGGCCTCATCTCCCAACAACTATATGGTTAATTTTTTGCCATTTTGTGAAGTGGGAATTTGACTTTGGAAAGGTCCAAATGGTTCAGGATCGTATATTAAAGTGGGAATGGAGAAAGAATTCAAACTCAGTGACCCCTGGCTCTCTATTCACTGCTTTACCTGTTAAATTATATCACTTTGGCAGTTTAACAGTACACTGGAAACATTTTCAAGGAAGAATATTTATATACACAACTCTTGGCACCATAAATATTTGTCTGAATTTATCCTGCTCCAGGCCAATCAACACCTTACGAAACTTGTGATTTAAAAAGCTTGGATTTTTATTCATGCAATATTAATATAATGGAAAACAATTCCGTATCTCCAGCAGGAATGATTTTATAGGCATTAAGCAGGTGGCAGACTACATAAACTTTACCTTTCTTGACATTTTAAAACAACTCATACAGTTTTAAAGCATGTATATTTTTGTATCATTTAAATAGTGAAACTATTAATACTAAACAAGTTTTGTAAGAAACGGGAATTTGAGGCATTTTGTTTACATTGAGTTAGGTACATATAAACTTTGATAAATGCTAATGGGAGTTACCAACATGCATTCCTTTCATAGCAGTGGAAGAACATTCTGTACAATTCCAAATAACCCTTTTAACCTTGTGAAAAATGAATAAAGAACTAGAGTGTGTAAAGCACTAAAGCATAATAAGAACAGAAATCAGTGAGCTTATTCCAGTTCATTTTCAGGCTAAATAGTGAGCAATAATTCCAAACAAGTACATTTCATGAGGTTTATACTTTCATGGCACGTTCCTCCTGAACTAGACAATAAAGAACACCCTTATTTTTTTTTTTTTACTACTTATTTCTCCATAACAATGTTCTGGCTTCCTTCCTTATCGTATGTAGTTTCATAATACCATATTGAATTAGAAATATAATTAGGAAGTATCTACTAATCTATTCCACAAGTATGTATTTAAGACCAGGTGCCATTTATAATAATAATAAACAAGACAACTGTTGGGGCACCTGGGTGGTTCAGTCGTTAAGCGTCTGCCTTCGGCTCAGGTCATGATCCCAGGGTCCTGGGATCGAGCCCCACATCGGGCTCCCTGCTCCGCGGGAAGCCTGCTTCTCCCTCTCCTACTCCCCCTGCTTGTGTTCCCTCTCTCTGTGTGTCTCTCTCTGTCAAATAAATAAAATCTTTAAAAAAAAAAAAAAAAAGACAACTGTCCCTGCTCTTGAGGAACATAGAGTCTGACAGAGAGAGCAGAAAATTAAGTAAGAGATGTCAATAGAGTGTGATCAAAACAAAGGTATACAATGTCATAGCCAAGGCATGAGTAAGTGGGATGTTCTGGAAATACACAGAAGTAAACTATAAATAGGATTCCGATGCTAGACAGAGAGCCCCTACTGAGCAAGGCACGGAATTAGGACATTATAAAATATATACTCAGTTGCTAGTGCCCAGGAACTTCACTAGGATTTGGAAGATAACCCAACATTGTCTCTCCTTTTCTCTAGAACCAAACTGCCTCCTAGACATCTCCACTTGGATGTCCCACCACGGCTAACACAATGTGCAATACTGAATTTGCTTTCTCTTTCTGTCCCCAGTCCTGGTCCTCACCTCATGCATTCTCTATCTCAGCAACTAGCCCTAACCCATTCAATTACTAAATTAAAATCAGGGGAGGCATGCTTAGCGCTCTTCCTGACTCTTCTCTCACTCCAAAAGCATAGAACAATGTTTGGGAAGGTGGGGTTAAGGGGGTGGGACTAGTTCACGAGAACTTTGAGTGATAGACTAAAAATCATGGGCATTATCCTGCAGATAATTTTAAGTCTTTAACTCATGGCCGGCATTGCCATGAAAGAACATATTTCTAATGTATATAATGAATTATCATTAAAATTAAATATGCATTGGATGATTTTTAACATCTGTCTAGAAAACTATTAGGGAGAACATTTTTTTAAATCATAAAATGCATTCTAAAAACATTAATGGGAAGCAATCCTCATTAAGTAAACAGACACAGTCACATATGCATACATATGCCTATATAGCGTATTCTAAGGCCAACTATAAAAGGCTTTCCATTTTTAAAAATAATCACAGCAGATAATACACATCAAATAATGTCTCTTGAAAGCAGTTATTTCAGTGAAGCATTTAAGGAAACAGCCATTAATAGCTATATGACATAATATGACAAGATGGTGGACTATCCTGAGCTAAAAATTATCCAGTTGCAAACACCTAGAAATGCTAGGTAAAATTCACCTGAATGCATGGTTGAAAGTCCATAAAAGGAGAATTTACAGTAGTCAAAAACAAAAGAGAGTTGAAAACGAATGCAGTAAATGAATAGGAGAGGCAGCTACTCTTGTTTGTGAGTGGTTGATGTGAATAGTCTACATAAACTTAGAACTTGGGTTTAAATATCTGTGAGGGGCAAGAAATAAGTCCTGGGCCCATGCAAAGTAATAAATTAGAACTAAAACTCCTGTTTTTATAAATCTAGGACCTCAAAATGTTTCAGTGAAAAGCAGACTAGGAAAAAAAGAAGGCACTCACAAATTCAATGTGCTAACAAGGAAACTCTGTCTCTGCCACGGGTTTTGGTGGGGGACAAATCTAAAAACATGGGCCAGGACCCTAGATGGGTATTAGATTCAGGAGTTGAATCTACAGTGGACCTCCTCCAAAGCCTGTGTTCTTTTGATGTGTTTTAGTCTCAGTTTCTTCACCCATAAGACTGGGGAAATTCATATCTTCCTCTCCACCTTTAAAATAACATGGCTGTCCTAAGTGTCTTCAATGTTAATTCTTCAAACTTAAAGTTTAAAATTGACAGACATAGCATATTGTGCAAATGCATACCTGAAATATTAATGTTACCTACCATATGGGACCCTTGTATTTCTAAGAGAGTAAAAGTAGTAAGTGAAGTAACTACTGAAAACAGGATTTATTTTTACACCATTACCATTTTAAGGTAAAATGGTTATGATTTCCAAGTCACTGTAAAATAGAACAAGAAAAATATATCAGTGATAATAACATTCAGATTTGTGCTATGAAGACCCTCTGTAATTGTTTTTAATATGCTAGTTAATCAACTACATCACTGAAAAACATTACTGTACAGTTTTATTAAGCTGCAGTGGAGAAAATAAAAACTCATGTCCAGAATTTTAGGATCATAGAATTTCCTAGATTTAGACTTTAGTGATCCACCTTATCTAAACTTATTTTAAAGATGAAGAAAACAGACTTAGGAAAATTAACTGACTTTTCCATGGTTCTTCTATTTGAAAATACTATATATTTTCCATGGGGTCGTTGGGGGTGTCATCCAGACTCTATAGGTCTCAAAACAAGCAACAACAACAAAAAACTATAACAATTAGTACAAAGTCTCTCCTAGGGATGCATATCATACTTAATTTGTCCTTAAAATATTACATGAGTAAAACCAGCAGTATGCAGTAGATATCATCAGGTCTTTTAGGGCATAATTTTAATTGGTTTGAAAATCAGTAGCAACTAGATTTTGCTCTATTTATAACATTAAAAGGTTGGATTTCATGCATTTCTTACATTCGGCCACCAAAAGATATGTCAGCTCTGACTTGTTCGGAAGTGTTGCCCTATTTTAAAAATGAAAGCTGAAGAGCCAATTAAAAAATCTTATTATTAAAAAATTTGAAGTTTTTGGGCGCCTGGGTGGCTCAGTTGGTTAAGCGACTGCCTTCGGCTCAGGTCATGATCCTGGAGTCCTGGGATCGAGTCCCATATGGGGCTCCTTGCTTAGCAGGGGGTCTGCTTCTCCCTCTGACCCTCCCCCCTCTCATGTGCTCTCTCTCTCTCATTCTCTCTCTCA